AACGAGCCCCAGCTGCGTTGTTATTCCTGCATCCCGACTCAACTCACAGCAAACTTCTGCTGAGTCACAACATAGAACTATAGATGCAGAATGAAGCGGTTGCTTAACAATTTGTGCTTTTTTGATATTGGTTCTAAGCTTTTTGTGCATAAATATAGGAGTGGGGGGACTTTTCTTTTCTAAATAAAAGAAAACACTTCATGGTTATAAATAAGAAAGAGAACTGTTAGCAGTTTCCTTTATTTATTTAGAGGGGTTGTCATTAACCAAAAACACATTTCAGTTTTGTAACCGCTTCTTGTGAAAGTATAGGATTGGATGCATAGGAAATGGTACCCAAACTGTGCACTAGATGTAGTTTTGTGTTTCTTTAAAAGAAGACTACAGTTCATTAACAGTTATCTTTAATCCTGCTGTTACATTCCTGGAGTTTATGGATGTATAAAAGCTTCGTTAGTATCTATAGTGTTCCTTGTTGCAGTTTCACAAACACTAAATGCTGGAAAATGTTCTAGGCAGACACAACAACCATCTTTCTTTAGGTGAAACTCAAATAAGATCTCAAGTACAAATTGCTGCCTTGGTTCCCAATCATGCAGAAGACCATTTCTCTCTTTGGAAAATTTGTGGACATACACAGTCATCTTGAAATTTATTGCTTCCTGGATAATGGATCTCTTCATGGAACCTTAAAGCTGTTGCCATTTGTGTGAACCATGGTTCCCATGGAAGATACTTTCTAATTTTTGCTATGCCCATTGGCAATGCTGAGTTTGGCACATCCATTTGCAACATCATATCTTTGTGAAGCTGCGTTTCTGGCAATTTTTTGGCCTGTGAAAATATTAGTGACGCTAAAATGTCACGAATCAAGAAAGTTTGGGGAACCTCTGATGTGAAAATCTCTGACATGAACTGATGATATAGCTAGATACAAATTTCCTTCTGAAAATTTCAATACTTCTCCAAATTACTGGAGATAGTTTGCCCAAATAGGCAGGCTGATCCTTAGAATACTTATTTCCAATCCACATGAATTACCAGGAGACCCAAATGAAGTGCATATATGCATAAGTAACTTTCAACAGGCAGTGTATTGAATCGTGATGTGAGGTTAGTTGAAATCAAATCCAATTGAAATCAAGTTGCATTGCAAAAGAACTTATTTCATTTAGGGGAAATCTACCGTATGTTTAATTAATTTAGCCTCCTCTAAAATACATTTTATATAAACTACTTGAGTTTTTGAACATTGTCCTTAGAAATGTAGCATCTTAGTAAATAGTAAATAGCTCATCTCTCTTGTAAAAGATAGATTTTTAACCTTAATCATCAGATTTTGGTAATTCACAAATACAATACATATTTTGCTACCTTCAAGTTTCAGTAAGTCCTAACAACGTTACATAATGAAGCTTATTCTTAAATGTTAATATTGAAGATTGTACACCTCTCTTTCATCAATTTTAAAGACATTTTTGGATCTTAGTATAAAATTTATCCTTTCTAACCCATATCCCTGGATCTCATTCTTATTTTAGTGGTTGGATAAGAGCTGGGCCATTTCTGAATTCAGTCAATGCCCATGGCTGCACATCATAAATTGTAAATGAGACAAGAAGTGCTCACGGTTTTCAGTTTTATTTTGTGCATGACGCACAATGTATTTTAAAGTTATTCTAACAGCTCTGAAGCTTTTAGTGGGCATTCCTTATAATTTCCATTTAAAAGATTATGCATTTATAATGTACTAAGACAAAGTCACTTAAAAGCTGGCAATGCCTTTGAGTTGCTATATATAATGCATTAATGAAAACATTTACCGTTTAAATGATAAGAGCTATTTAACATTGCTTTCATGTTAGTATTATGTGACGAGAAAAAATATTACTATGCCTTAAGCTAGAAAACAATGACTTGGAAAATAATGTTATATATTCCTTCCTTTTTTTAGTTAATTCTATAGTTTGGGATATTTGCTTTATTTCTTTGTTTCCACAAAATCTGATTATCTGGTAGCATAGGACAGAATTTGTGTCCAGTGATTCCCATGTGCATCATCCTTGTTTAAATGCTGCCATTAGATCAGGAAACCTCTAGTTAACTTAAATTTGCATTTGGGGAAGGTGTGTCTTAGCTCTGAAATCACAGAAAATGTTCAAAAGGGAATTTGCATGGAACAGGGAGATTCAGTTGGTCCACATACTGACCAAAGTGTTCATTTTAGTAATAAATCCAAAACAAGTATGCTAGATCTTGGCATAGATGTTATATGATGGAAGATACCAGGTTGATGGCAAGGTCATTGGCGGCAACAGTTAAGCAAAGATACCAGAGAATTGTGTTGGGTGGGAGGATCAAAGGAGAGTCTATTTTGGTTATGCCATCTTTGAATTCAAGCGTGGCAGCTAAGGACAGCGAAGATTTGCTGCCCAAACCATGCAAAGGTTGAGGGCACAGAGGACCAAGGTGCCCCACGCTTGCTCTATTCATCCTGCAGGACCCACCTGAAACCATCCCTAAGCTGAATCAATCAAGACGTTCCCCGTTTCATTTCACGATGTTCCACAATTCATCCGGAATGGTTCGGTTGATCTCCTAAACACAACGCATTTGTTGTATAGTTGGAACAAACAGGTTTTCACACACGCTCTAAAACTAACTCGGGATTTTTAATGTAGTTTAATATCCTGGTTTATTTTGAAGCTGGGACCCCTATCTCTTGCTTCATACAAAATGAGGAGCACTGGTAAATTGTGTTCCTCATTTAATATCTTGACCAATTATCATGACCAATTAAAACATAGTTTACGAAAGTAGAGTGAGGAGATTTTATTCATGGGGGGGGGGGGGAGGCTTGTCCAGAACTCGCTCGTTAAGACAAGGTATTATAATCTGAACTAGGTCATCCCCTTTTTAGCCTTCAGCAAGTTGTCAGACTTCTTTTACCCATTTATAAAATATGAAGTACTGCATGACTTAAGGAAGACTTGTGTGCACGTCTGTAGCCAGCAGCACTGCACACTTTAAGCTGGTTCAAAGTTAAGTACATCTGTTTATGTGGCTACCTTTAATAAAGAGAGATGTATCTGAATTATGTGTGTGTGTAAATGAATCTGTTTGGCTGTGTATCGTATGAAGTTCTATGGCCTGATTTGGATGAATTTGATAGGTTTGTAACCTATTACTTTGCAGAAGAGTAGACTAAGGCAGTGTTTTTCAACCTTTTTTGTGCAAAGGCACACTTTTTTCATGAAAAAAATCCCGAGGCACACCACCATTAGAAAATGTTAAAAAAATTTAACTCTGTGCCTATATTGACTATATATAAAGTAATTCTCCCATGGCACACCTTACACTATGTCACGGCACACTAGTGTGCCGCGGCACAGTGGTTGAAAAACACTGGACTAAGGATATACCTTGTATGTTATCTGCATTATAATGGCATCTGATCAAATTATTATTATTCTTTATATTCGAACATAAGATGACAGTGATTTGCAGTTTGTTTCATTTCTCTTGTTGGCCTTGATAGTTATTTGGATAAACATTGTAATACTTTCATTCTTCATGAAAAGGACATCTTTGCTTTGCCATTAGCAGAATTGCAAAAATCTGTGTCAGGATACTTTTATTACTGCTTTTTCTCTCTTTTTGATTTGTTTTTCTCTCCCTTTTTAAGTGTAAAGATGGTGCTAATGTGGACCAGCGGTGACACCTTCAAGACGGTGTATTTCCTCCTGAATCAAGCTCCATTCCAGTTCTCAGTCTGTGGACTTCTCCAGGTTTTTGTAGACATGGCCATCCTTTTGCAGGTTTACTTCTTCAGCTGTTACCCACAGAAACCTGTTCCACATTCATCACATCCAGCCAGCACGAAGGCACTTTAAGGCACAGGATGGAAGCGATTATTCGTTGAGATTTGTAGAAGAGGCTGAGAGCCAGCCGTAGCTTCAGCTCTGCTTGTACCTACTGTGTTTCTGAGGAACTAGAAATAGAAGACTCAAAAATGCCTACCTACAGGGACACTTCTTCTGGCACTTTTTCCTCTTCTTTCATTGGGTTGCATATCTATTGAAATGGGTTTGTTTGGGATTGCAGTGAGGGGTTTTCTTTTATGTTCTACTCAGTTCTCTAAAATATTTGTGTATGGACAAATGTGTGTATCACAAGGGCTGGTTGTTAAATGTTCTCAATGCTATTTTTTCAAAGGTCAGTCTTAAAAGTTGGGAGTATTTTGTCTGAAGCATTTACCTATTTATATGCATATGGGTTATGTATTTGGAATATTTTACATTCCTTAGATGAAAGTGCAGAACTCCTTGTTTTTTAAAATGTGGTAGGCCACACTTGGTAAGATTGTAAGAGTTGATACTAGGAAAAGATGGTTTAGTGAATAATGTCAAGGAATAGATTTTGTGCAACTGTGTTAAATATATATGTACACACTGCTGGGCCAGTGTGATGTATAAATACATCAAAGTGATTAGTGATTTTGATACAAATGCTCCTACAGCCAAACAGAACAGACTAATGCGCAGTAAGTCTTCAGAGAGCTCAGAAGGATGAGTAATTTCGATACCTTGGAGAATAAAGTAATTTCTTTATGGATCTATAAAGGATTTAAACTTAAAGAGGATAAGCTTGAAAGAAAATCAGTGTTTAGTTTATTTGCATTCTGTTCCTGTATTTTTGTTTGGTGGAAAAGCCACTTTCAGTGATGTAAATCTTGTCTTCGCAGTGCGAGCACAATGACATTCTTAAAGTTATACTCTTAAGTTGCACAGGCCAACTACAACACCACTGCTTTTTAAGCTAAAGACATTATCTAAGTAACCTTCCCTCTGTGAAAGAGGCGGTTTACTAGACTAGGATAGAGAAGAGAGAGAGCAATACTTTAGTGCTGGATAATAGGGCAATTTTTTTTTTAAAAAAAGAAAATGTTTGTGTGTGATATTTTTCTAAATATTTAATACCAAATGTCATTTTATGTTTGGGAAGAAGTGGGGCTACTGAAAACGAGGGGAAGTATGATAGTGATTCTGAGTCCATTAAAGTTTTGCAACTTGCTTCATTTTAGCAATGCCATAGCCAGTACCTGAAAGGGGGGAATGAAAAATCACTTAGGGGGGCATATTTATGAGCGTGGAGGATCTATAAAATGAGTTCACCAGACTTATGTAAGCCTGTTCTGGTATTTGATTGGGCTGCAAGAAAAGCATCGCTTGTATTGTTTTAAAAGTTCCTTGACTAACTTGTCAAAGCAAATTTGCTTCCATAGCTATGAAATATATATGCATTCTGCAGTGATTCAGGAACTGCTCTCTTCTCTTAGCCATAAAATATACTACGTATATGTGCTTTTGTTGTTAGATGTATCCTACCTGGAGGGCCATTTTATGAAATGCTGATTCAACTGTAATCTTGATTTCCCTCAACTATTGGGGGAAAAAAAGATATTCAAGTCTGACAAGAACTCTTCAGCTGGATCTCTTCCTTACTTCGTCCAGCTGTCTGCCTGCCTGTCTCTCTGTCTATCTCTCCCTCCCTTCCCCCTCTCTCTCAAATCTGGGGTGACCTGAAGACATCAAAATCCCATCTTTGCAAGAGTGGGAATCTTATCAGAAGTTTGCTTTAATTCCTTCCACTTGCACATCTATATTTCAGGTCCTCTCCTATATTTTAGGTCTGGGGGACAAGTGTTTCACTGTGGCAATTCTGAATGCCCAGGAACTCAGTCCCTCCCTTCAACAGCAAAAAAAATAAAAATAAAAAACCGAGACAAGGATGAGGCAATATATTGATTGGCTATCGCTTTAGTGGAGGTCTCTGTGCCTAGCTGGCAAATAAATTAAACCTCAGGAAAGCTGCTTTAATGAGGGCTTGGTGTGAAATGTTGTAGTTGAATAGACTTGTGCTGTTGATTAGCTTCGCTGCTTATTCCTTTGGTGCCTGAAGTGACCTTACCAAGCTGATTTTATGTGGCATGGCTGAATGTGAATGTTGCATTGCTCTCTTTTTCACAAGCGTTCTAACTGCGTTAGAACCGGGTGGCAGTCATCTTTTAAATTATACATTTTCATCCTAGTTTTTCCTGGTGTGCTGCTGTAGCGAGGATTGTATTTCTACTCGTACAACAGAATTTATTAAACTTGCAATGCTGGTTTTTATTTTTGTATGGGGTAATATTCTTTGCTTTCCCAGTGTCTTTTGAGAAGAGATACAGGATTTAACTATTATGTTAGCGTAGCCTGAATATATACAAATACCTCTTTTTTTAAACAAGTGTTATTGAAGGTAAAATTTATAGTATTCCACAAACACACCTGCTTTTTTTTAGATGAGTTACTGTCCACAAATTCTTAACTTCTGATGTCAATATTAAAATGTAGGCTCAGAATATCACAATACAACTACAAATGACACCAGAGAAGTTTACGCACTTGTGCAGAATTTAACTGTGTGAGTCACTCATGGCTGAACCCCAGATAGCCACGCATTTAAGAAAAGGGCCATTGTAACACGACCCACATACCGTTTAAGGCTCAACATCGATTCCCAGGGAATCATAACTATCCATCACATAAAAGAGAGCCAATTGCCTGTTTTTTCCCCCCATGAAACTTGGTTGCCTTGGCTTGAACATTTAAACCAGGGGTGTCCAACAGTGGCAACTTTTAAGACTTGTGGACTTCAACACCCAGAATTCCCCTGCTAGCATGAATTCTGGGAGTTAAATTCCATAGGTCTCAAAAGGTTGCCAAGGTTGGGCACCTCTGATTTAAACCACGAGTGTTCAATCTTTAATTAAATAATGGTGAAGCTTACTCTCTGATCAACTAGAGAAGCGCAGCATGCCTTTTAGTTATGATGGGAGAATCAATTTTCGCTTAGTTTTTTTGGGGGGGGAGGGACAGGGGAGGATGGATGACCCATGTCCTTGAAAACTGGCTGTTTTGCCATCAAATTTCAAAAGTTCTCATGATGCTAAGAGGCCAAATTTCAAAAATAGGACACAGGTTGTCCACCACTTGCTTAATTCTCCTACTCACAGGTAAACTCTTCATCAAGTAGCAGCTCTGATACATCTGTAAGAGTATCCAAAGAGCATCTCAGTAATTAGGAAACTATTTCCTAAAAAAAATATGTAAAGAACTTTTGTATATTTTAGCTATATGTTGAATGTATGGAAAAATCCAAATGCACTCATTAAACGATCAGTTTGATTTTTTTTTAAAAAAAATAAAGTTATACACAAATTCATTATTTGTTGTTCTTTTCAAATGTAACGCAAGAAATATTGCTGGCTTCCTCCTCCAAAGTATACTGAACTTAAAAAAGAAAACATTTGTTAACTTCCATATACATAGAATGAACTTTGTAAATGAACTTTACAAAGTTCATTAAGTTTCTGATATTGAAACAAGACTATTTATTGTGCTCAAGACTGATTGTGCACCACTGCGAAAGAAAGTAACATACTCATTTCCAGCACAGCATCTCATTTATACTCAATGGCCAGTCTTCTAAAACTGATGGTTTTAATAATTTAATACTTTAAAATAATGCATTTTGATAGCAAATATAGTTTATTTCTTCACGATACCAATTATCTAATAATAAAAGAGATGTTAATATATGCACTTATACACTATTCAGACAGAACCAGACCTCTAGATAACAACTTTCTGAATAGATGTTTGACCTATTCCAATAGACCTCCTGTTCTGATCCATCAGTTACAGCCAAACACTGCTATTTTATAAGTTTTGATATGTAAATTAAAACATTTAATTATTTGCCCAGAGTACAGTATAAGTATTTATGATTTGCTGAACTCAATGAATGGTGAATTTTGTTTGGACTATAGGAAGGGAACAACTATTTCAAATTCTAATTTAAAAAAATTGCAGGAAAAGTTTTATTTATTCAAAAGATTTTTTTTAAATCTAGTCTTTCTTTGCAACACCAGAATCTCTTCACAAGCTTTCGAATGTGATATCTGAATCACCTCTACAATTCTATATATGATGGTGTGATAATCTGAAGGTTCCAGTTGCTCCCTACTAAAGCACACTGCTCTAGCCTTTCTGCCCTTATTTTTGGCAAATTGTGCTGCTTTAATCTACAGGTAGTCCTTGACTTACAACAGCTCATTTAGTGACTGTTCAAAGTTACAACAGCACTGAAAAAAGTGACTTACGACTGTTTTTCACATGACCATTGCAGCATCCCCATGGTCACATGATTAAAATTCAGACTCTTGGCAACTGACTCGTACTTATGATGGTTTCAGTGTCTTGAGGTCATTTGATCCCCTTTTGCAACCTCCCGACAAGCAAATTCAATGGGAAAGCCAGATTCACTTAACAACTGGGTTGCTCATTTAACACCTTCAGTGATTCACTTAACAACTGTGGCCAGAAGTCGTAAAATGGGACAAAACTCACAGAACAGATGTTTCACTTAGCACAAATTCTGGGCTCAATTGTGATCATAAGTCAAGGACTATCTGTATTTTGTTTTTGGACATAAAAATATAAAAATGATACTGTGTCCATCTCGAAGAATGGATCCCACAGAAAAAGTGCTGCTTCTGGCAGTTGCACCAGGGTTTCTTTTGGAAGAGCGCTCCAGATATCCCAGCAGTGGCTATGCTCCTCCTAACTTGCCCTTGTGACCTAACTTGCCCTTGTGTCCAACGTGCCCTTGTGACCTCTAGGCTGGAGTATTGCAACATGCTCTACATGGGGCTGCCCTTGAAGAGCATCCGGCGACTTCAGCTAGTCCAGAATGCGGCCGCGCGAGCGATTGTGGGCGCACCGCGGTTCGCCCACATAACACCTATCCTCTGCGAGCTGCGCTGGCTACCTG